GTGGAACCTGAGCTTAGAAAAGTCGTGCAGTTCCGGTTGACCCACACTTTGATAAAAGTAAAAGTCGTAGTAACATACTAATCTTACTTTCCTCCTTTCCTTGTTCTTAATTTACCAAAACTTAAGCTAAAAGTGCCAGTAATATTGTTTGGTTGTTAACATCAGAACTGACGTTTTACTGTTCTATATAAGTAATCTGARTTGATGTGAATTGAAATTCGGACGCGGGTTTTATCTCATTTAACTCTGACGGTTGTTATAGGAATAACCACAATCAGGTGTAACTTTTGATCTGTTCAATTTGTGTAAATAAACGATTGCATAGTCTTTTATGAATCAACTTGAACTCATCTGAACGTTCACTTATTGTGTCACTTTTCACTTCGCACAGTCAAGATATTAAAAAGTAATGAGAAATACCTTGGTAAAAGTTTCCTCATAACCTTGTGTATGAGAGATGTGGGAAAAGCTTAATTCACCTTAAGCTCACTCCTACAGCTTCATGTCCGTTTAATTCCAAAGCACACTTTGAAACTTCAGAGGGAAATAGTTTCTGTCACAGTGTGAGTTTAAATCATTCTCTGGCCGCCTCTCCGTTCTACGTTTTCTCCTTTTTGTGACAGAGGGGAGGGATTTCCACAATATGTGGCGACGCTAACTGGGTATCGTGGCCAATTCTCTAAATCGATTCAATTTTGATTCATAAGGTTCTGAATCGGTTAATAATGATTCGATTCAATCTGCTCTTAAATAATGAAAATGGTTGAACTGTGTCACAAAATACAAATTCACTTTAATTTTTTATTTTCACCATAAACAACAGATTTCAAGGGTAAACTTATAAATCATACAGTTTAATCTTGAAACAAAACTCAAGTTTCAAAGGGTTTAAATTAAAAAGGAACTGTCGGTAGCTGCGTTTCCATTGCAACTATGCGCAAAACTTTGTTGATGTTCTGTTAAAGGGGCATTACTATGTGTTTCTCAGGCATATATTTAAATTCTATACCATAATAAAGTAACTATGTCACCTCCGGCTGTTATTAAAATGTTGTTTTTAATGTTTAAATAGAAATTAAACTTGACTTCTCATCATATCCTTCAACCCAAGTGAGATTTGATTTTACTCAACTTTTACTGTATTGGTGCTGATTTTACTTATTTAACTGTGTGATTTTATTGTGTTTTTGTATTCAGTTTTTATTTCATGTGTTCAGCACTTTGTTTCAACAGTGGCTGATGTTATAACACTTTATAAATAAAGTTTGATTGATTGATTGATTGATTGATATCTGTTTCTAAACGCCTTGAAATTGGTCTCTCGTCTCTTTAAGAACCTCCTTCCTCTTCTGTCCCGCCCATTTCAGTGCGGGGTCGGGTGTGTGTRTATGTGCTCTGTGATGAGGAAGCTCAGCTTGGAGACACAGCCCAGGGGAGGAGCTGATCCCAAAAGGTGGTTCTAGTCTCAACCAGTCATTTTTGCTCCCCTGCCTGCTGCCTCAGGACACTACAGGATTTCTCAAACATGCATGACTGAGTCAAAGTAAAACTCTGGGCATGTTTTTGATGAGAGGATAACATTATAACTTGATACAAAACTAAAAAAAAGTTAATTTTACATCATACTGCCCCTTTAATGTCGAAAGAACAGTTTCGCAACTGCAGTCTTTCCATTAAGTAAGAAATGCTATTAAAGTCACACGTGAATACTTTTGTTCTCATGATAAGTCGTTACAAACATGGCGGCGATGGATGTAAACAAATGCATATTGCTACCACGACACTAATGCTCATCAGAGGAGATGTCGGCATCTTATCGAGGCTTTCGAGCGACAAGTCCCTTATACTTGGGAGCGGCTACGTATGCTGCGTTTTGGGAAAATTGTAGTTGGTTAGTTACTACTTCTACTTCCTGTTGTCTTCTTCGTCGTCTTTTTCACCACTAGAAACATCCGATTGTGATCATGTGACTCGTGATGCGAAAAAAGTGTTTCTATTGCAGTTTTGTGAAACACATCAATTTCCATACGGCTGAAAAACCACCTCATCCTAGCGCAGAAACATTTTGTCGAAAAACGTACGTTTTTTTTCCAAAACTGACATGTTTCCATTAATCAAATTTATTTTTGAAATTCTAATACGCGCATTTCCACGAACAATGTAAACGCAGCTTGTGACAGTGTTCTTGGATGCATTAATTTGTAAGAAATTAGGAATTGATGAATAAGAAGTGATGGAATACGGCTGCAGGAGAAGAGGAGGGCTAATATAAATATACTTCTGCCCACTCCTTTGAGCATGAAAACTGTTTATTTGTAATGTTTCTGTTACCTTCTGTTGTTTTGTTCAATAAAACTTATTTAACAAAAACAGAAAAAAATGATTCAACTGCAACATTTCATCAAGACGTTCCTCGTAGTTTAAAAATAATAATATTGGTAACAAAACAAAAYGTTTTTTTTACCCAGCCCTAATAGTAACGCACCTTCAAATGATCTAGTTTGTGCAACAAATAAGCTGCTTTGCATCAAAACACYGGCTTTTCTGGAACGTCGCCAATCTGTCAGGTTTCTGTTCTTGTTGCGTGATCTGACGCCATATTGAGCTGCAAAAACCTGACTTACAGGAAATGGCAGGCCTGCTCCTGCACTCTGCTTCCATGGTTTCATGAAGGTTTTCCTGCAAAAAACAAACAATATTTCTCATTTTGGCTGCAGGATGGGAGGTTTGAACTGCATCTGTTGTGTCTGGGAGCGTCTGTTTGGTTGTCAGGTCACCACCTGATCCTAAAACTGGTTTTGGACTCGTCCAGCTCCGTCTGAACTCCACAACTGACATTCGGCTCTCGGTCCGGCACGGTCCGCAGATCCGAGCTGAGTCCGGTGTCACTGCGGCAGGACGGTCAGTATGTTTGTGATGGTCCATTTCTGACCCGTGCAGTCCTGAATGGCCAGCTGGAAGGTGAACTCCGACTGTTTGCTCTCCACCAGCTCCAAACAACGCTGAGACTCCAAGTTCTGAACGGCTCCGCCCTGGAGAGAAGAGAGAGACACGATGAGGAGAGGAGAAAGATCTGCTCTGTTCCAATTCATTTTAAACTAATTAAATTCCTCCTCCTTTGTGTGCAGAATCTTATCTGAGAAATAGTTTCTCGGGGTTTGGAGGCGTGGCTCAGTTGGATAAAAAGTCGTGCGCTCAGCTCACCTGCATGTTTATCACGGCTCAGGTGGACGATCGTGTTTCTGTGGTGTTAGCAAAACATCTCAAGAACCAGTAAATAAAAAGGAGCTGCAGCAGCTGATTTAATGCTTTTTATGCARCCAGAAATCCCTCAGAGACCTTTTAAAAGTGGGACTTATTCTGCTCAGGTTTTAGGTCCAAATCGGTGGAGAATTGACTTCTTATTAAAAGATCCTCTGCCCTGCAGCTCAGACGTGATGAACAGTAAATATTGTATCAAAAGGGAAGTTCTGTTGGAAGCCGTTCAAGTATTTATCTCACAACAGTTGGCATTTTAAACTGCCTGCAGCCTTAAACTAACACTTTCCTACCATGGGCGCTGAGAACAGTTAAAATACAAAAGACTAAAGAATCAAAAGTAAACACCTGCGAACAACAAGATTCACACCCACCCTCCCAATAAACAACTAAACTTTAATTTCTGATGAAACTCTGCTGGATGTAAGAAGCAGTTTTGAGTTTCCAGCGAGGCTTTCAGGCTCCAGCAGGTCTTTGACCTTGTGTTTGAAATTTCACAGCTCGTGGTTCCAGATCTGGTTTAACTCTGCAGAGCGACGCCGCGACTCCCAGCTGCTGCTGCTGCTTTAACCTGAGAAAAACGGCTTCGCTTACCGAGCAGAACTGGTTTATTTATTAAGTTTCATTCATTTTCAGCAAACCTGAGGGATGCAAAAAAAAGTTGATTAAAAAGAGGTGTGTTGCATAAATCAAAATGAGGTCAAGTTAAAGTGACACAGTGGAAAAACAACCATCGATCTGCTCTATAAGAGCAGGTAAAGCACCGCCCCAAGTCAAAAATTCATTCGCCCCACAAAGTAGTTCCTCCTGATAAATAATGTAAACTACTTATTTTTTAGTGTACTGTGTTGTTGTGTTTTGAACTGTTTGGCAATACTAGATGGAATTTAAAATGMTACTTTTAGCTAGGCTTATGCTATTTTTTTTTTAAATCTAGCATGTTTAGCTTTTTGCTACATTTTGTTTTTAGCTACTGTTCTTTTTGCTAGTGTTAGTGTAGCTTCTTTTTAGCTGTTAGCCAGTCTTAGTTTTATCTAGCCTTATAGTATGCTTAGGTTTTTGCTACTTTTTGTTTTTAGCTACTGTTCTTTTTGCTAATGTTAGTAGCTTCTTTTAGCTGTTAGCCAGTCTTAGCTATTTTTTATCTAGTCTTATAGTATGTTTAGCTTTTTGCTACTATTTTTAGCTAGTGTTCTGCTCATTTTAGCTTTTAGCCAATATTAGCTATTTTCATCTAGTCTTATATGTTTAGCTTTTTGCTACTTTTTTTGCTAGTGTTCTGCTCATTTTAGCTTTTAGCCAGTCTTATAGTATGTTTAGCTTTTTGCTACTTTTTAAGCTAGTGTTCTGCTCGTTTTAGCTTTTAGCCAGTCATTTTTATCTAGTCTTATAGTATGTTTAGCCTTTTGCTACTTTTTGTTTTTAGCTAGTGTTCTGCTCATTTTAGCTATTTTTGTCTAGACTTATAGTATGTTTAGCTTTTTGCTACCTTTTTAGCTAGTGTTCTGCTCGTTTAAGCTTTTAGCCAGTCTTTTTTATCTAGTCTTATAGTATGTTTAGCTTTTTGCTACTTTTTGTTTTTAGCTAGTGTTCTGCTCATTTTAGCTATTTTTGTCTAGCCTTATATTAGCTTTTTGCTACCTTTTTAGCTAGTGTTCTGCTCGTTTTAGCT